AAAAAGGAGTCCAGCAGCATCAACTCAGAAACATAATTACGATATATCCGACAAAGAAAAAAAAAATATATGTGCGTAGTAAGAAACCAGCAATCAGATCTAGCCCACATATATGGAGAAAAATCCTATCATATCTTCACCTCAAATAAATCAGCACATGTAGCACATGTTTTTCTTACAACTATTGCCAAATAGAATGATATAAAGAAAAGTAACAGTGCCAAAAAATCAGTGCAGAATAGTATGTCTTTCTCTTAAAAGTTCTTGTTCAATAAGATCATTTATTATTTAACATGTTTTCTCAAAAACTAGAGAAATAAAAACAAAAACCTTGACTACAGGAATGAAAAAACCCCAGTTAACAGGAACACTCACCGGAATGGATTCAAGAACTTTGGACACCGCAGGAGATGCAGCCTTCCCTTCAACAAAAAGGAAAAAGGTTGAAACCCCAATAACCTTATGATAATACATCCATGGCAAAATCTGCTCCAAGCTTGCAGATGTACTTGTTGTAATACATATCTGCATATATCGAAGAATAAACAGATCAGGAAGAAACATTTGTGCAAAACTGTTATTAGAAATCAAATTTGTAGCCAAGAACTCCAAAATGAAATGCCAAGAACTCCAAAATGAAATGCCAAGAACTTAGGTTAACCACAACCAAATCCAATTTCACTTGTTATTACTTTCAACTCCAAAATCTAATTACTGGACAAAATATGCATCAACTGAGAAAATCCTCCTCCAACTTGGGTTAAGATATAACACCACATAAAAAGTCATAATTGGACCTCAGTAGCCAAACTACACCACACTTAGCTGTAGCTATCTGCATCATGAAGGGAAGTCATTTCTAAATTTTATATTATCTCAAGTAAGGAGACTTTCTAGACCGGATGGCATCAAAACTATCTGATGCTGAACTCATCGGAACAAATATCGTTAGTTTTCACTATCCAAGGGGTTTGGACACTTTCTCTTCTTCTCGGCCACCCTCTACACCCACTCCAAACCCCCTATTTGGGAATAAACAAACCGACAAAAAATTAGGAAGGATTAGATAAATATTAATGTCCATTGCATGTTTCAAGGTTTCAAAATGTTCAAAGAATGGGTACATTTGTGTTAATTACTGGTCAAAGGAAAAATTGAGGAAGCCTTCTACTATAGGGTGACTTACAAAGAAATCAGGAAATCAGTAGCAACGCCGTATTAAATACAGAAATGCTGACAAAATAACTGATAAATGTTCTTTTTTTATTTTCTTGAAAATAAGGGAACCATTCAAACTACCTATCAAATGGATTTAGATATTGGATTCATATTATGCAAAGAAATCTTTCTTGCAATACCCAAAAAAAGAAAAAAAGGCACTAAATCTTCCAATCACCATTAAATCCAAGTCAAGTCAACCGATCTCAAATCAAAACCTTAGATCAGATCAGCACAAAACAACACAAGAAAATGGATAGAATCAACGAGAAACAATAAAGAAGAAAAAATTAGACAAAACCTTGGGCTTAAGATCGGCATCGAATTTGAACTTCCAATCCCTGAAATACGGAAACGACGCCGTCGTGGAGTGCCCAAGCAGCATGGAACAATCAGACGAATGAGATGAAGAGTGACCAACCGTCGGCAGGGGGGAAGAATCCATTCCCGGGAACTTGTGGGCCTCCTCGGGCGACCATCGCGAAATGGGATCGTCTACGCCGCCCCCGCGCCATTGCAGGAGGAAGGCGAAGATGGCGAGGGAGAGAGGGAGAACGGTGAGGAGGAGTAAAAGCTTGGCGACGAAGGAATGGTGGTTAGCGGCCGAGGACGGTGGTTGGGGGCGGAGGGAGGTGTGCAGACCCGCCATTGGAAGCAAACAAACGACTGGCCGAGGCTGGTGGGGTAGAAGTTTTGTAGTGCAAAGAGATTGAGAGATTTTATTGTCCGTGACATTTAAGTAATTGCTTGTTTTTGTAACGAAAAATGAGATTAAAAAGTTAATAAGAGCGTCATGGGCTATAAAATATAACCGATTTTGACTGATGGGATAAATGTTTTTACAATCAAATTTAAATTTAACATAACTCAGCTCTCAGTTAAACACGGTGAATATAATTAAATAATATCAATTAATATCTATCATTTGATACATAAATTTTACTTTGTTATTCATTCATTCACATATATATATATATATATATATTAGAATTACATATCATTTTCAATAACAATTTTTCAACTTGTACGTCACACCAACTTTAATCATTATATTTTATTAATTTATTATAATAAAAATTCAAAATCACACTCAATACTTCTTTCAATTAACTTTACTCAAATATTCACTTTAACCAAAAAAAAAAATATCAAAATAAGATTTTATTTATATCCTATCGCGCCATAATTATTTTATTTAATTTTGCGTAAATGTGACTTCAGAATTAGATTAGAATGCAAATTTATGGGATGTGTTGAATTGAGATTTTTGGATTTTTATGTATTTTTAATTTTTTTTTATCATGCTATTAACATTTTTATATACTTATAGTTATAATGATCATATTTGCATGAAATATTAATGAAGGTTGCATAATAACTAAAATCAATAAAGTCGCGCTATTGTTTCATTACAAATCTGTTAAATTGAAACGAGCTCTGCGTATTGAAGATGTAACGTCGGGTATTCAAGATGGTTGAAAACTTTGGGGATTTTCATTGTTAAAAACTTTTGGTATTCAAGATGTTGAAACCATCATTCACGTGGTTCTGGTACAACATTCCCGAGAGGACAACACGGGTCGAGATAAACCATCAATGTCAGTCAGACCATAAGCTGCCCCTACGATTGACAACAAAAGCAAGAACTGCAAAAAAAAATAACAGATTTGTACAATGATGCTCCTTAGGACACTTCGACAAAATATCATCCCATGAGCCATCAACAAAAAAAAAAAGGCAAAATACTGACCCTAAGCCCGCAAATCTGTGCAAAAATACCCTCAGGGCGCGAGTCCGCATGCCCGCCAACAAAGCCCATCGACCTCGTCTGCCCACACATGAGTCCCTCGCCATGCTAGTCCGTGTTATGCCAGTTTGTGATTGACAAAGCTGTTCACACAATTCTCGGCATATTCATCTCATATGTTGCATAATTTTACGCACTTCCTCAATTAACTTTGATTGTAGTTCGCATAATTTATTGTATAAAGGGATCGTACTTACCCACTATTCACCTTTTTGTCTCGTAGTTTATCGTATAATTATTTCAAACTATCTTAATTAAATTCGCTTTTCTATAGCATAGTATTTTATCGCATTGTGAGATCGTACTTGCTTGATTATCTTCATGTGTCTATCGTATAATTTATCGCATAATTATTTCGCACTTTATCAATTAACTTCTCATGTATGTCGCGAGGTTTATCGCATAATGACATCTCACTAGCTCGATTACATTCGTATGTTTATCACATAGTTTATCGCATAATTATTTCACTTTATCAATTAACTTTGTATGTTGTCGCGTAGTTTATTCCATAATGACATCGCACTTTCTCGATTATCTTTGTCTATCTGTCGCGTACTTTATCACATAATGAGATCCCACTTGCTCAATTATCTTGCTTGTCTGCCGCATAGCTGTTCGCAAAAGTAATTCACACTTTCTCAATTAACTTCGCCTCTGCTGCATACTTTATCGCATAATTTGTTTCGTACTTGCTCAATAAACTTTGCTCGTCTATGGCATAATTGATCACATAAGTAATTCACAATTGCTCAAGTAACTTCGCCTCTTTGTTGCATATTTTATCGCATAATTTGTTCCACACTTACTCAATGAACTTCGCTTGTGTGTTGCATATCATATTGCATTAATTTTTGGACTTTATAAATTATCTTTGCATGTATGTCGCATAGTTGTTTCGCACTTGATTAATTATGTTTGCATGTTTGTCACATAGTTTATCGCATAACTATTTTGCACTTCATCAATTATGTTCGCATGATGTCGTATAGCTTTTCACACTCTATCAATTATCTTCTCTTGTCTATTGATGTTTATCGCATACTTGTTTCGCACTTTATCAAATATGTATGTCACATAGTTTATCGCAAACTATTCGCACTTTATCAACTATCTTCGCAGGTCTGTCGCATAGCTTTTCGCATAAATATTTCGCACTTTATTGACTATCTTCGCCTATCTATCACATAACTTTTTGCATAACATTTTCGCACTCTACAAATTGTCTTCGTATGTCTGTCTCATAGGATTTCTCATCAATTATTTTCCCCTGTCTGTAACATAGTTTTTTGCATAAAGATTTCACACTTTATCAATTATCTTCGTCTGTCTATTGCATAAATTTTCGCATAATATTTTTGTATTTTATCAATTATTTTCTCATGTATGAAGCATAGTTTATCACATAGTTTGTTTTGTAAGTTGTGGGGTGAAAAAATTAATTTACTATTTGACAGTGTGAAAGATTCATTCCATGTGAAAGTAGTTATGTCCTCTACGGTAAGAGATTGCATGGCACTTGTCATGTATCTAACCGTGTGGGATATGGATAGTGGAACATGATTAGGGGTGAGCAAAACCGAGCCGAAACCGAAAAACCGAACCGAACCGATGTATTCGGTGCGGTTCGGTTCGGTTTTTTAAGGTTCGGTTTTCGGTGCGGTTAAACTTTTG